TGATACCGATGACAGATGATGATCTTCTCATCGATGTTGCAAAGCGGGCGCAAGATGCTATCGATTTGCAGCCCAGTGGGCAGGCATCCAAGTACCAGCGCATCGCCAGGGTTGGCGCTGAGGAGCTTCCCATCAATGATGAGGTTCTTGAATCAGCCCCTGAGTGGGAGGATGCTGAAAGGTACCTTGAGTTGTCAGATGAGGCTGCAGCTGAATGGGATGTGACCAACACTGAGGACAGCCATGCCCTTGACAACGAAGAGTGTCTTTGGTATGATTCGATCCCTGATTTGTCCGAGCAACAGCAAGAGGAGCTTGATCGAATCGCTGATTCTTTCGAGGTGCAGCGCTTGCTTCGCAAAGGCGTCCTTGAGGAGATCGGGGATGAAGTGGACACGTCGGACCACAAGGAATTGTCTTCGAAGTTCGTGAGGACATGGCGTAAGAAACTGCACAAAGGCAAGATGATGTACTTTAGACGGTCCAGGCTGGTAGCTCGCGAGTACCGGTGGCTGGAGCGGGACAGAGAGGATCTTTATGCACCAGCAACGTCAGCCATCACCACCAAGCTTTTGCCGTGGCTGTATTGCGAGCTCAGCCGGCGAGCCAGAGAGTCTCCTGATGAGACCGACCGCATAGGAGTGATCGCGCTTGATGTGCGTGACGCTTTTCTTAACGTCCCTCAGGAGCGTCCCATGCTGGCCAAGATCCCTGGATTTGCAAGCCGAATGCGGTTTCTCAAGATGCTCCCTGGACAGCGGGACGGGACAGCCCGATGGCATCAATTCATCATGAACTACATCCGCGAGGAGCACAAGCTCACAAGCTGTGCTGAGTGCCCATCGGTGTATAAGATCGTTGATCCCAAGGGCCGTGTAAACCCCGGGTTGATACATGTAGATGACTTGTGCCTGGTTGGGTTTGTCCAGTGGCTTCTTAAAGAGCTAGTCCCAAGCTTTGAGAAAACCTTTGAAGTGTCCTACGAGGTAGCCTGCATGCCTGGAGACAGCTTCAAGTTTCTTAAAAGAGAGCACATAATTCTTGATGATGGGATCTTGATAAAGCCACTTGCGGACCATGCTGTGAATATGGCAAACCTTCTTGATGTGCCGTTGCATCGAAAGTTCCCTACGCCGTGCACCAAGGAGCTTCTCATGCCGGATGCAAGCAAGGAGCTGGACTCTGCTCGAGCAGCCAAGTACCGCAGCGCCGTTGGGATAGGCATGTATGTGTCACAGGATCGGAGTGACATTGCTTTCACGGTGAGGGTGTTAGCCCAGAACCTTAAAGCACCGACCGAGCGCGGCTGGCAGTTTGCGCAACGCCTTGCAGGGTATCTTGTTGGAACGGCCGGCTACGCAAGCAAGGTGCATGCCAAGGGCGATCGAGCAAGCATTCTTGAGCCACCTGATGCCGAGGAGTGTCTTGATGGCGTTCGGCTAGAGGTGTTCTGTGATGCAGACTGGAGCGGCAACAAGCAGACTCGCCGGTCGATGAGCAGCAGCTCGTTCTTTTTGAACAGCTGCTGCGTCTATACTTCCTGTAAGAGCCAACGCTGCGTAAGCCTCAGTAGTGCGGAAAGCGAATTTTACGCCCTGGTATCCGCGGCGTGCGACGGCATCTACCTGAAAAGAGTTCTTGAATACCTGCTTGAACTACCGGTAGATCTTTTGATGAGGACTGATAACAGCTCCTGTCGCCAGATATCTTTGAAGCAAGGTGTATCGAAGATTCGGCATTTGAGCGGACGCTTTCTCTGGATACAGGAGAAGACAGCCGATCGCACACTCCGTGTGCAGCCGGTCGATGGGAGAAGGAACCCATCGGATCTGGGAACCAAGGTGCCGTGCTCAGGATCCCGCCTACGTGCTTTGTTGTGCATGCATGACTTTGTGTGCTGTGCGGGTGACTGCATAGAGGAGGTAGGCCGTGCAGAGCATGATGCGTTGTTGGAGCAGTTGCAGCGTGAGCGTGAAACACAGAGGGTTCGCAGACTTGTGTGTAAGACGCTGAAGAGCAACGGGATGCAGAGCTTCAGCACTGCAATGATGGTGATGATGCTGTCACTTGTGCAAGGTGCCGAGAGCAGTGGTACCAGGCGTGAAGTCGGTGTGCAGACCGATGATGATGCACGGTGGGCGCAGTCGCTGGCCGTCTTGGTGATTTGCACATGTGCTATCCTTCTTGCCTTGAAATCTTTGAGCCTTGGGCGGCTATGGACCACAGAGGGCAATGAAGATGACATCACCTTGAACATGAGCAATGCCAGCACCTCCACCGAAGAAGTGTATGAGCAGGGAACCGACGGTTGGTGGAATTGGGTTCCATTGACTTTCACCTGCAGCCTTTCAGCGTTCTGCCTGGCAATCATGATGTGCCTGCGACGGGTGCGAGCCGCACTGCATGCCGCTGAGCAGGAGAACGAGCGCTTGAGCAGATTGATCGCTGAAATGAACTACGACCGTATCGCTTGGGGAGAATACCACGAGGCGAAAGATCGAACAAGAGAGAGAACGCTGCCAATGCCAGAGCCGAACCGTGCTATCTTCATAGATGGCGATGCCGCACGCGGTTCCAACGATGTGATCCAGCATGTGCCTGAGTTGCATGTTTATTGCACTTTGAGACGAGGCAAGTCGTACCACAAAAGCAGGAATTGCACTTGTCTGAACAATGCTGATGAGATCGTGAAGCTTGGAATCGCCACAGCCCGTGAGCGAGGTTACAAGCCGTGCGGAAGTTGCTTTGGTGGCAGCAAGAAACAAAAGTGATGATCCTTGGATTGCGTGTCGCAACACACTTGTGTCTTGAATGCTCATGATGCTGATGCATTGGCCATCTGTACATAGTCAGTGGCACTACCTTTGTGTGTGTGTCATTGACGACCAGCGACGATTGTACATAGCTTCAGAAAACCACCTGTGAATCATTCTTGACCTTGATGTGTGAACCATCCTTGGAGCGTGCAAGACTGTGCACGATACACCATTTTGGTGTCAATCTAGTTATGTCTGAACAACGATTGTGTTGACCGTGGAGCGGTCATGACTCCGAAAGAAAGTCTCGTGATGAGCTTTCAGCGGTAACTAGGCCGCTATAATCCCGGGCATCAATGTTAAGCATGATGCATGATCCGCCATGAATTGTTTGGTTCTTGACAGGAGCGCTTGAACTTGCAACGCCTACGCTTGGGTGAGTCAAGCTTGCATTTCGTCATAGGCTGTCCGAGCCTTTGATGGAGTGCGCGTAGTGTATAGACGACTTTAGATCGTAGCTACGCTGACTTGTTGAGCCGTGTACTGTAGTAAGAAGTGGTCGCTACTGTGATGTATCGTACGCTGTATGTTGATGCGAACATCTTCCAGTCTAAGTCACTGGGGATGTCCGGGCGGGGTGATCAACATTTTCCCCTATGCCCTGTACTCTTATTTTGCTAGAACAGTTTTGGTAGCTTTTGACCACTCGTGTAGTTTTCTCGGAGAGCATGCGAAGCATGTGTGATCGTCGTGACTTTCAGGCTCAGAGTACTTGCAAAAGTCCGAAGTTTGTTCACCATATCACAAAGTATCAGATGTCACAGGCTGTAAGAAGGCAGTCGGCCTTCTTTCTGGCACGGATGAAGAGAAGCAGCGGTGTTGCAAACTCTTGAAATTGTGGTGCATCCAGGCACCGCAGCACGACCGAAGACGCAGTCATGCTGCTGTGCGGCCTCGCGACATGGAATTACTAGACGATGCTGTTCTGGAGGCCCGTATGTTAAGCCTCAGGCCCCCGCCTGCGACAGTGGAATCGGATCAGGTTCTTGATGCAAGAGCGAAAGCCGCTGCGAAAGCCCGCCCAAAGGCTAAGCCCAAACCGAAACCCAAAACATCCTCGAAAGCAAAGGCCAAGGCGAAACCTGGTTCCAAAGCTAATGCAAAGTCGAAGTCAATGGCCTCGCGCGGTTCAGATCATGCAAGCTGTTCCGATGAAGCAGCGTCCGATCCGCCTTCAAGTGCATCGTCGAAGTCGAGCAGCTCGAGCAGTTCGAGTGGCAGTGGCAGCGAGAGTAGTTCCAGTAGCTGAAGCAGCAGCCTTTCGTTTGCAGTTCGAAGTCGACAAAATATTCGTGAGCCGCATGCTGTGCTAGATGCCAACTTGCCGCAGACAGTGCATGACTGAGTCGTCGTCACTCGTGACTGCTTTTGCATAGGTCGTTGGCATATGTACTGTGATTCTGTGTGCGAAGCCCAGCCCACAGTCAGCCCAGCCGAGCCCAGCCCGAGTACGAGGCTCGTGTGCACATTGTTGAGGCAAGAATGGGTTTTTTTCTTCGCCTACCACCGCTTAGTTCCTTGACCTTAGGTTGTTCCGAGTTCTGGTGTGTTTTCTGCTGAACACGTCTTTGTCTCCGCACCCTTCCGGAACACTGGTAGAAAGGCTTGCCACGGAAAGTTGACTTTCTGAGTGAGGAGGGGTCAGGAACTGGGTGTTCCCAGGAAAAGGCTTGGGGGCTGGCTCGGAGATGGCTCGGAGATGGCTCGGAGCTGGCTCGGAGCTGGCTCGGACATGGCTCGGAGATGGCTCGGACATGGCTCGGAGATGGCTCGGGCTTTTGGTGATGGCTCGGAGATGGCTCGGAGATGGCTCGGAGATGGCTCGGAGATGGTTCGGAGATGGTTCGGAGATGGCTCGGAGATGGCTCGGAGATGGCTCGGAGATGGCTCGGAGATGGCTCGAGCGGCTCGGGCAGCTGGTTTTGCACCGTCTGTGACACCCACCCAAAAAAAGGTTTAACTCCTCCAAGAAGGTTAAGCCTGCAGTGAAACATGATAAATCGTCGATGATCGTCAGCCATCTGCTAACTTTCTTGAGCTTTTGGGCACGATTCCTGCGATATGTATTGATGCCTTCATTTGCTCAAGTGTTTTGTGTTCTTGCAAGCAAAGAAGGCTTGCGTGCCGGTTTTTTCAACCACCTGCAGCGGCGCTAGTGTGCTCGTGCGGTGTGTTGGCGCCGCCATGGCCGCCTTGACCTTGGAGTCTGACCAAGACCTGGGCCAGCTGGGTTTGGACAGTGCCGAAGCTGCCCCTTCTACTCCCCCCCAGAAGGCTCCCAAGAAGAAGAGAGACAAAAGGTCTTCAAGCAAGAAGGACAAGGCGGACAAGGAGGGGCAAACGACAAAGAAGTGTGGGGGCTGCGGCAAAACCCTGCCTCTCGACGAGTTCAACACAGACCAGGCGAACTGCAGAGAGTGCTACAACGGCGACCGTTCCTTGCTGCGTGTGGCTAAAACGCAGCACTGCCGCGAGCAAGTCTTGGAACTCAGGAAGAAGGACCCCAAGGGCTACGACGCCTTGCGCAAGGCTTTCTTGAAAAGCCGTGCTGAGAGGAAGAAGAAGGGATCGCGAGTTAAGTTTCAGATCGCGACCTTCATATCCGAGCTGAAGCGCTCGGATGGATGTCGCATGGGGGCCTACGGTGAGATGATGTGGGAAGGGGAGTACTACGAGTTTGCGAAGAGTGCCAAGGCCGGCTTCTTTTCCGAGGCGGAGAGGGAAGCCAATTGGAAGAGCATGCTCATGGAGGCTTCCCGGGGCTTGCGGGCCACGGACGACAAAGGCCCGCGTGGCTACAAGAGGGTCTTTGTTCACACAAAGGATCACGCGGAAAACTATGCTGACATGGCCAAGTCGCGGATCCTTCAAGTTTCGGAGACTTCGAAGAAGCCTACAGAAGCTCACCTGACTGCTCGTCGGCAGCTTCTCTTCTCCGACTTCGACCTTGCAGGCGAGACCTCGACTGCTGAGTTTGAGCAGATGATGCAGACTGCGCAACAGGCGTGTGGAGATCATGATGACATGAATGGCTTGGGCGGCCCTGACGTTGCAGCGCTGATGTCAGACACAAAGGAACAGCTGGACCGCAAGAGCAAGCCCAAATCCAAGGCCGCTTCGTCTTTTCAAAAGGCCCGGAGCTCTTCCAAGGTCCTGGCCTCCAGCTCGGGTTCGGAGGACGCCGACGGCTCTGGTTCAGACGACGGCAGCGTGAAGGAGGAGGTGAACTCGCAGTCCGAGGACGAGGGCAACCTCTCGGACCAGCAGGGCAAGAAGAAGGCGAAAAAGGGCAACAAAAGCAAGGACTCCAAAGACCGCAACAAGGACGGCAAGGATGACAGCAGCAAATGGTTCGATGCGGAGACGCAGAACCTGAAGGCAGAAAAAAAATTCGAACAAGCAATCCAAGCCTTGAGAAGCACTATGGATGCGCAGCGCAGCACGATGGGCTCGATCATCAAGGAATTTCGCGCTAACTCCGACGCCAAGGCAAGGCCTACAGCCTCCATCGGATCGAACTGTCACTTCGGTCTGTGATTGCTTGATTTTCATGCTTTGCTGCTGAACCCTTGCGCGGCTAGAAACCAGTCACTCAACATTGCGGATTGCAGTTCTGCATCTCGATGAATACATATGAATAGATAGCTTAGCTTGCAGCCAGAAATGCCAGGCCTATGTGGATGAGATGGCAGTTGTGCTGCGGCGTCAGGAATGGCTCTTCGCTGTGAAAGACAGCGATGACAAAAAGCTTGAGGCTTTGCAGCAGGCAACCGCCAACCCTGGCAGTGGTGACGATTCGGCCAGCAACGCCGGATCCCGTGACGGCCTGGCCCAAGCCCGTGCCGGGCCCTGCGCAGGGTACAAGAACCTGAAAACGTTGAACGACTTCTGGGCAAAAGGCGTCAAGTTCCGTGCCTGCACAAGCAAGGATCAGCTGAAGCAGGTGCAGGAATCCATGAATCCAGCAAAGAAGTTGTACAACACCTTGTTGGCTTCGTGCAAGGCCGCGGTGAGCGAGCTTCGTGCTGCCAAGCAACGTGCAGCTGCCAAGCAGAACAAGCGAGGGAAGAGCAGGGCTGCCGGCGGCGTGAATCCGGCCCAGGCGGCGACTGGCTTGTCTCACCATGCCATCTTCGAGCTGGAGTCATCGGATTTCGTGACGATCCCGTCCGCGCCAGCCTGGCAAAGCGACTGGTTGCTTGACAAGGCCTTCGTGATCTCCAATATCGGCCACATGGTCGATGAAGAGAGCACGAAGACGACGGTGAAGACGTTGCTGAGCGAGTTCGCGAAGGCTTTCAACGACAGCACCTTGAAGGCCAGGGCCAGGTAGTCAGGGGGGGGGGGCGCACGCACCTGCAGTTGTGGTAGTTTTCCTTTGTGTGTGTGTGTGATGTTCTATTCTATGTTCCATCCGGTTGTTCATTTTGTGGCTATGCCTTTGCGAGGTCACCGATGGCCGTGCTTCTCAAAGCCTGGCGGCTGATGTTGGGAAAGCAGTGCAGATGAAGTTAGATTCTCTTGTGCATGCCGACATACAGGGCAGGCCTGTGTGGCAGTGCAGTGTTGCACCAGACGAGGTGGCTCTGGTGAAGGGTTTGGCCTTGCAGGCTTTCGGGCTTGCTGCAGGCCACGTGTCAAGCGCAAAGGCCGAACTTCACCAAATGTCTTGCATGCGATGGTCCAGGCAGGGAACCAGAGAAGTGGCATTGATTTCGTTTCAAAGCGTCGCCGCCTTCCTCGAGTCGGACAAGGGTGAGGGCTACCGTGCCCAGCCCTTTAGCTGCTTTATGTCCTGCGGTGATCTGCGGTGTAGCTGTTCTGTGTGTCTGCGGGAGCTGGGAGATTGTAAAAGGGTCCTGTGTGCATCGTCCAGGTTTCAGCATGCTCTGACATGGGCGGCTTCAGCATCGTCTGCGGACCTGAAGAAGCTCCTTGCCTCCCAGCCGGGCAGCATCATGCGTGCGACGGTGGGACCGAGTGACTTGCTGTTCACGCCCGCAGCTTCGATTACGTGGGCTTGCGCTGCCCTCTGCTGACAAGCCTGGATGCTTTGCTTCTGCCTAGAATCCGAGACGACTTGAAAGGCATGAAGGGCAACTCCGAGGCTGTGGAGGCGGCTTGCAAGTTCTTGCAGGATGACCCGCTGAAGGTGGAGATGAAGGCTTCTGGTGCCTTGCCCATCGGCGGCTCTGGTCCTGGAGATGTCCTTGCCATCAACGAGGCTTTACAGGTTCTTGATGGAGATGCCGTGGCGACGAACGCCGCAGATTCAGACAGAAAGCTGCTGCCAAGGTTGAGGAGAACACCGTGCAAGCCCAGAAGATCGCAGACGAGAAGGCGTCGCCGTGGAAGCCCAGAAGATCGCAGACGAGAAGGCTGCTACCGAAGCCCAGAAGATCGCAGACGAGAAGGAGAAGGCTGCCGCCGCCGTGGAAGCCCAGAAGATCGCAGACGAGAAGGCTGCCGCCGCCAAGGAAGCCCAGAAGATCGCAGACGAGAAGGCTGCTGCCGAAGCCCAGAAGATCGCAGACGAGAAGGAGAAGGCTGCCGCCGTGGAAGCCCAAAGGATCGCAGACGAGAAGGCTGCTGCCGAAGCCCAGAAGATCGCAGACGAGAAGGAGAAGGTTGCCGCCGTGGAAGCCCAGAAGGTCGCAGACGAGAAGGCTGCTGCCGAAGCCGCCGTGGAAGCCCAAAGGATCGCAGACGAGAAGGCCGCCGCTGAAGCCCAACGAGAAGCCCAGAAGATCGCAGACGAGAAGGAGGAGGCTGCCGCGGAAGCCCAGAAGATTGCAAACGAGAAGGCTGCCGCCGCCGTGGAAGCCCAGAAAATCGAGAAGGCTGCGGGTCCTAGGTTAGTTACGCTTTTTGATCCTCCTGGGTCCCTGTTTGCTTACGCTGATGCTTGAGGTGGGGGAGTGGGGTGGGGTGGGGGTGTCGGGGGTGGGGTGGGAGTCGTAACGGTGCCCTGAACCCCAAACCCGGCTCATTAAACCTCTTTCGCCAGGCCCAGAAGATCGCAGATGAGAAGGCTGCCGTGGAAGCCCAGCAGGTCGCACGTTCCCGAAACCCCGAACCTAAACCTTACTTAAACCTGCCTCAGACCCTAACCTGGCCCTAAACCCAAGACCCAGCTTTCCTGCAGGTCCCAGATACCAAGAGCAAGGCCAAGGCAGACAACAATGACTCCCCGAGCAAAAAAGTCCGTCTAGTTTGAGTCGCATACAGCCGATGCAGGATGTATGCCGCATGTAGCCGGCATTCAGTGTGATTTTGTGTGTATGTGGGTGCAGTGAGACGGCTTGAGGTCGTCATTGGTCACTGATCAGTTCCTGAAGCCTGACATAGCCTGCAGGCTAGCAGAAGCCAGTTGTTTCGCGACCTGTTTTGCTGTGCTTGCAGGGGGCGTAACTATCGCCGAGAACCTTGCAGGCGAGGCTCGCTTGTCTCGAGACCAGCCGCCAACCCTGATGCGTGGGATGACTGGCGCCTGCTTTTCAATCTTCGTGCTTCAAGTGCACTCGAAACCGCCAGCCACGATTCAAAACTGAATTATCGTGTCTGCCGCAGCGCAATCTTGTGGATGCCAGCTTCGCTGCTGACCGTCATGAGTCATGCGCAACCTCTCTCGGTCTGGGCTCTGTGCATGAAGGGCGGAGTTGAAGGCAACAGCAGTCCGATGTGCAGCACTGGTCCCACTCGAGATGTTGCAGTTGTTGCTGCATATTGCTCCATGAGTTTCTTGATGCCTGGGGCTTGCAAGCACCCGTAACTCCGTAACACTACAGGTCAGTTCGGGCCATGTCGTGATGTTTTGCAGTGTAGGATGTGTTTGTCTGCATAGTTGATTAGGGCAGCTCGGACCAGCTTTTCAATGCCATGTCTTTACAGTGCGACTTTGATGAGAGCTTTTCGTCTCCTGTGCGAAGGAAACGGAAGGCTGATGGAGAACTCGACGGGATTTCAGGGCCCCGCTCTCACGCTGAGGCCGATGCTTGGGTGGACTCGACAATGAAGCTGCTGCGGGATCGTGGGCTTCGAGAGTTTGGGGTGGATTTCGCGGATCGTTTGCTGCAAGCCTTGCAGCCTGGAACTGGCATCTGCATGAGAAGCGACTACTCTGGCTTGGGAGGGCCAGAAGAAGCTTGGTGGCAGATTGCCAAAGCACTCAGGCTGGACCATGAGGTTATCACCTGCCAGCGATGTTCAGACATCGACGCAGCTGCCCAGTATGTGCTCCTGCATCGCAGCAAAGCTTCGGGCTGCAGTCGCAGCTGTTGTGTGCTTGGTGATATTCGGGAGCGGTGTTCAGATGGCGTGCTGCAGGCTTTGGAATCATTGCAAACTGACTTTCTGGCGGAAGCCAACAGGATTTGTGCACGAGGAAACAGTGGTGAGAGCTGCGAGAGTCGGGACGCCGTGTACAAGAGGCTGGGCAAGCAGTTCGTGAAGGATGCTTTCGGATTGCTAGTGCAGGAGATGCCAGTGATGCCAGCAACAAGCAGTGCCCCGGATCAAGTTCAAGTGCCCTGCCTCAGTCACAACAGGAGCTGCCCTGCTTTTCCTTCGCCTCAGCAGGGCTTTTCTGGTTTGTTGTGCAGTGTGGCTGGTATCATATGTTACGACTTTTCACCGATGGGTGCTGGCAAAAGGTTTTTGGGAAACTCGGCTATCCCATTTCTTATTTGGGCACGAGAGCGCCTTTGCTCACAAGAAGATTTCTTTGTTGTGGAATGTGTGACGAATTTTGACGATGAAACCTTAGCAGAGCTTCTTGCTGATTCCTATCAGATGCATACATTGCGAGCTTGTCCAAGTCTCTTTGGACTTCCGGTGACACGTGATCGTAAATATATGGTTTTCCTCGCCAGGCGCAGCTTGGTGTGGTGCGATGCAGTCAACTCAGTCGGGCCGCAGGAAGCTTTTCGAAAGCTTTTTGCAAGGCCAGTGGTGATGCGGGGTGATGAGTTGTTGCGTGCACCAGATGCTGCAGTCCATGACTTTGTCAGTTCATTGGCAGTTGCTCGTGGTTTGCCAGAATCGGGCTCCGGCAGTGTGGCATGGAGCTGCTACTTGGCAATGAGCCCTGCGAATAGGCAAAGTGTGCGTGATCATGAGCAGAGTCTCCAGGCTGCTGGCTTTGCAGAGCAGGCAGCCGTTTTGACAAATATTGCCCAGCGAGCAAGCCACATGGGTCCAGTTTTGTCTGGCTTTGCACCGGCTCTATTGCGATCCAGTTTGCTTTGGAGCTTCCGATTGCGCCGTATTGTGCTTCCCGCAGAGCATCTTGAGTTGCAGGGTTACAGTCTGTGGGGCAACGAGGAAAGGCGATCTGTTGTATCAGATGTGCTTCCCAGCCTCCGTTCTTCCTCTTTGAGAAGCCTCGCTGGAAATGCAATGCACATTCAGAGCATCGGATCAGTTCTGATGTTCGTGGTGTCGTGCACCGTGCGACAGCAGTAGGCAGTAGGCAGTGATACGAGAGTGCAGTTGAGAAGGAAAAGTTGAGTTCGCAGCTTTGAATCAGTGCTACAAGCCTCACCCGCAGCCCGAAGCCACCATGCAAAGCCTCTCAACTGTCGCATCTCAGTGCACACAAGAAAACAATGACCACAGCACATCCATCGCCCACACACCCGCCAGCCACCAGCACCAGAACCATTGCCACCGCCGCCACCATCTCCGCCGCCACCACCGCTGCCGCCGCCACCACAACCGCCACCACCGCCACTAACAGTATCAGCAGCAGCCGCACCACCACCACCACCGCCACCACCACCACCACCACCACCACCGCCGCCGCCGCCGCCGCCGCCGCCGCCAAAACACAAACAAGTGTGTTGTGACTGACTGCGTTCAAGGGCTCCGCCCATGCCGCGCTCCTTCGTGGGCCCCTAGGTTCCTCTCTAATCGGAAAACCCACCGAACAAAGAAAGTCTGGGGATTCGTATTTGGGCTTTGATTTTAAATCGCAGGAGAAGTAGCTGGAAGGATGTGAAAGGAGCACCATTCTGGAAGGATTTGTCGGCGCTGCAAGGGTCGAATGCTATCCCCCGGCGTGTTGGGCAGGTTTGAGCAAGGAAACTACAAGAACTGTTGAAAAAGGCAAAAACACAGGAATAGACACAGACCCAGCCCAACCTCGCACGTGCCAGAAGAGACCATGAAAACCAACAAAGGGGGGTGTTGTAAAAGCAGCTTGCCACATAGCGAAGCTAAAGCCCCGGAGTGGCTTCGATGCTACACGTAAAGGGCCAATTGTCTTGATGAGCCCCGCAGCGATGCTGCTTGCTTGCGACTCTCAAAACTGGAAACAACACACAGGCAGGCTCGGACCTGATTGCTTTTGACTGCACGTGCCGCGCTCAGCTGCCCGAACCCTTCACGATTCAGTGAGAATTCAGTGTTATAACTGTTGCGGGTTTCGATGTCTGGCCGCAAGTGGGCGCAGGTAATTGTTTTCCTGCCGCCGCCGGGATCCGATGGCGCCAGACTGTGGACTCGGACTTGATTATTTTCTTTCATTCCTACTGCAAGTGCCGCGCCTGACATTGCGAAGCTTGACAAGTCACTGTCTAAACAGAGCGAGAAACAAGACTAGTAGCTGGCCAAACCCAGTGTCCAAGTGGCAGGACAGCCGCGAAGGAGTTTAAGCCGGCCGGCAGTGGATGCAGCAAGCACGGACGAGTGTCCTGCGCTGTGCCCGGCCGTGCAAGGCAAGGTGTTAATTCCAAAGTCTGGTTTTGTTGACGCTGCTCTGTGATTGAGTTGTTGTCCAGGGGGGCTGGCGGGCGCAATGAATTCAATTGTTTCTTTGCCGCAGTAATGCAGTGGCAGCACGTGGCTCGGTTCGGGCGAGTGCCGCCAGACAGTGGACTTGGACTTGGTTGTTTGGGGCTGCGAGTGTGCTGCTTCAAGTCTTGTGCCGGGCCGTGTGGGCAGGACGATTCACCCTCCGCGTCAAACGCAGTCACGAACAAGGCTATAGTTTCTAGGTATAAACACTTTGTCCAATCGCAGGGATCAGTGCAGTCAGCCACGACGGGGTTGAACCTGTGCGCCGCAAGTCTAAAGGCCATGCTGCTTGTCTGTGAAACTCAGAACACCCCGCCCATGGGGCGACCTTTGGGCCCGGCATCAGTTGTCGTGGCTGGTCCGGCACGAAACGGCAGGAGCAAAGTTCCAGATTCCCTTCTCCAGGGTGGCCTTTTGGAAGAGCGCCTGGCAGCTGCAGTTTTGAGACCCTGAGAGCTGAGAGCGGCTCCGGCGCAGCAAGCTGCCGCAAAAGCCTTGTGCCGGCATGGGCGTCATCCCCCGCGATTCCTTGTGTGTTAGGTGTTTCGAGGTTGGTTTGCTGTTCTCGCTCGCTGCAGGCGTCTCATCCCAAAGGGGAGTGTTGTAAAAGCAGCTTGCCACATGCCCGGAGCGGCTTCGATGCTACACGTGCAAGGCCAGTTGTCTTGATGAGCCCCGCAGCGATGCTGCTTGCTTGCGACCCTCAAAACTGGAAACAACACACAAGGCAGGCTCGGACTTGATTGCTTTTGACTGCACGTGCCGCGCTCAGCTGCCCGAACCCTTCATTCAGTGAGAATTCAGTGTTATAACTGTTGCGGGTTTCGATGTCTGGCCGCAAGTGGGCGCAATGAATTGTTTTCCTGCCGCCGCCGGGATCCGATGGCGCGCCGCCAGACTGTGGACTCGGACTTGGCTGTTAGTTTTCTCTCATTCCTACTGCAAGTGCCGCACCTGACATTGCGACGCCTGACAAGTCACTGTCTAAACAGAGCGAGAAACAATACTAGTAGCTGGCCAAGCCCAGTGTCCAGCTGGCAGGACAGCCGCGAAGGAGTTTAAGCCGGCCGGCAGTGGATGCAGCAAGCACGGACTAGTGTCCTGCGCTGTGCCCGGCCGTGCAAGGCAAGGTGTTAATTCCAAAGTCTGGTTTTGTTGCCGCTGCTCTGTGATTGAGTTGTTGTCCAGGGCGGCTGGCGGGCGCAATGAATTGCAATTGTTTCTTTGCCGCAGCAATGCAGTGGCAGCACGTGGCTCGGTTCGGGCGAGTGCCGACAGACAGTGGACTTGGACTTGGTTGTTTGGGGCTGCGAGTGTGCTGCTTCAAGGGTTGTGCCGGGCCGTATGGGCATGACGATACACCTTCCGCGTCAAACGCAGTCCCGAACAAGGCTATAGTTTTTAGTTAAACCCTTCGTCCAATCGTAGGGATCAGTTGAAGCGGCAGTGAGCCACGACTGTGTTGAACCTGTGCGCCGCAAGTCTACAGGCCCTGCTGCTTTTCTGTGAAACTCAGAACACCCCGCCCATGGGGCGACCTTTGGGCCCGGCATCAGTTGTCGTGGCTGGTCCGGGACGAAACGGCAGGAGCAAAGTTCCAGATTCCCTTCTCCAGGGTGGCCTTTCGAAAGAGGCGCCAGGCAGCTGCAGTTTTGAGACCCTGAGAGCTGAGAGCGGCTCCGGGGCAGCAAGCTGCTGCAAAAGCCTTGTGCCGGCATGGGCGTCATCCCCCGCGATTCCTTGTGTGTTAGGTGTTTCGAGGTTGGCTTGCTGTTCTCGCTCGCTGCAGGCGTCTCATCCCAAAGGGGAGTGTTGTAAAAGCAGCTTGCCACATAGCGAAGCTAAAGCCCCGGAGTGGCTTCGATGCTACACGTGCAAGGCCAGTTGTCTTGATGAGCCCCGCAGCGATGCTGCTTGCTTGCGACTCTCAAAACTGGAAACAACACACAAGGCAGGCTCGGACTTGATTGCTTTTGATTGCACGTGCCGCGCTCGGCCGAACCCTTCACGATTCAGTGAGAATTCAGTGTTATAACTGACATCGGTTTCGATGTCTGGCCGCAAGTGGGCGCAATGAATTGTTTTCCTGCCGCCGCCGGGATCCGATGGCGCGCCGCCAGACTGTGGACTCGGACTTGGCTGTTATTTTCTCTCATTCCTACTGCAAGTGCCGCGCCTGACATTGCGACGCCTGACAAGTCACTGTCTAAACAGAGCGAGAAACAAGACTAGTAGCTGGCCAAACCCAGTGTCCAACTGGAAGGACAGCCGCGAAGGAGTTTAAGCCGGCAGTGGATGCAGCAAGCACGGACTAGTGTCCTGCGCTGTGCCCGGCCGCGCAAGGTGCTAATTTCAAAGTCTGGTTTTGTTGCCGCTGCTCTGTGATTGAGTTGTTGTCCAGGGCGGCTGGGGGGCGCAATGAATTGCAATTGTTTCTTTGCCGCAGCAATGCAGTGGCAGCACGTGGCTCGGTTCGGGCGAGTGCCGCCAGACAGTGGACTTGGACTTGGTTGTTTGGGGCTGCGAGTGTGCTGCTTCAAGTGTTGTGCCGGGCCGTGTGGGCAGGACGATTCACCTTCTGCGTCAAACGCAGTCACGAACAAGGCTGTAGTTTCTAGGTATAAACACTTTGTCCAATCGCAGGGATCAGTGCAGTCAGCCACGACGGGGTTGAACCTGTGCGCCGCAAGTCTAAAGCCCCTGCTGCTTGTCTGTGAAACTCAGAACACCCCGCCCGTGGGGCGACCTTCTGGCCCGGCATCAGTTGTCGTGGCTGGTCCGGCACGAAACGGCAGGAGCAAAGTTCCAGATTCCATTCTCCAGGGTGGCCTTTTGGAAGAGCGCCTGGCAGCTGCAGTTTTGAAACCCTGAGAGCTGAGAGCGGCTCCGGCGCAGCAAGCTGCCGCAAAAGCCTTGTGCCGGCATGGGCGGCATCCCCCGCGATTCCTTGTGTGTTAGGTGTTTCGAGGTTGGCTTGCTGTTCTCGCTCGCTGCAGGCGTCTCATCGCAAAGGGGAGTGTTGTAAAAGCAGCTTGCCACATAGCGAAGCTAAAGCCCCGGAGTGGCTTCGATGCTACACTTGCAGGGCCAATTGTCTTGATGAGCCCCGCAGCGATGCTGCTTGCTTGCGACTCTCAAAACTGGAAACAACACACAAGGCAGGCTCGGACCTGATTGCTTTTGATTGCACGTGCCGCGCTCGGCCGAACCCTTCACGATTCAGTGAGAATTCAGTGTTATAACTGTTGTCGGTTTCGATGTCTGGCCGCAAGTGGGCGCAGGTAATTGTTTTCCTGCCGCCGCCGGGATCCGATGGCGCGCCACCAGACTGTGGACTCGGACTTGGCTGTTATTTTCTTTCATTCCTACTGCAAGTGCCGCGCCTGACATTGCGACGCCTGACAAGTCACTGTCTAAACAGAGCGAGAAACAAGACTAGTAGCTGGCCAAACCCAGTGTCCAACTGGCAGGACAGCCGCGAAGGAGTTTAAGCCGGCCGGCAGTGGATGCAGCAAGCACGGACTAGTGTCCTGCGCTGTGCCCGGCCGTGCAAGGCAAGGTGTTAATTCCAAAGTCTGGTTTTGTTGCCGCTGCTCTGTGATTGAGTTGTTGTCCAGGGCGGCTGGCGGGCGCAATGAATTGCAATTGTTTCTTTGCCGCAGCAATGC